AAGTCTTGAATTGCATTATCCAATGATCCAGTTTTTAATAATAAGATATATTTATTTTCTCTCAGAGTGCAAATAGCGCCATAGACGAGTACAAATATCACGCGGTATTTGTACTCCAGAGAACCGGTTAGACAAGTTTTCTCGCATCGCGCAAGCGAAGAATTGGATTGAAGTTGCGAAAAAAAATGGCGGACAATTTGAGTCATATTTTTGACGACGAAGAGTCGGAATGGCTGGAAAATATAGATCCAAGTTTCTTAGATGAATCGAACGAAGAAAAACAGTTAGACAATCAGAAAATTTCTTTATTTATAGAAGAAAGAGGAAACAGCAACACGACAACGCGCCAATTCCTTTCCGCTTCGCATACTTCTGTCACGCGCTTCCCGTAAAAGAATATCCGCGAAATTCGCCCGCACTGAAATAACAATTTGGCGTGTTGGATAATAAATAACTTATTAGACGTTTTGTTGCGTAATATCTCTGAGTATTTTAACTCGTTATTTGTATTTTTTACAACAAACGTCTAATTAACAATTATTGCACGAGCGCGCGTTAGTTATGAGATGATAGATAGCCAACAAGGCGCGTAGCGCCGAGTTGACTATAATCATCTCATATCCAACAAGCGCGAGTGGAATAATTGTTTTATTAAAAACGCTCCCAAGAAATAATTATTTTGTAAGAAGAAACTGGATTTTTTAGCTCCCTTTTTATTTTAAGCTGGCGCGTACGCTTACCATATTTGTAGATTATGGCATATTGGCTGATACACCATAATGGCTAAGCCAATAAGAAGTCTTGAATTGCATTATCCAATGATCCAGTTTTTAATAATAAGATATATATATATTGACCCGGCCAGGTCTCGGACACAGACCTCTCAACCGAGAATGTTTTTAATGAAATTATTACCAACTGAATCACTTTAAACTCTGCTAATTTGCAGATGGAGACTTCAGAAGGCATTTTACTCAAAGGAAAGTTCAGGTAAGGGATGCCTGGAAATACTCCGCGAACTTTTCCATCCTTTGGGGACGTGTCTGGATAGAAAAAGGAGACAATGGTCCCGCCCTAGAAATCATAGAAGTAGCTGTGATGCTTTGGACTATGGCATTGAGCCAGCTCAGAAAGGATCTTTGAACCTGGCAGATCTCAGAGGGATGGAGCCTGAATATATATCAAACATGACTGTCCACAGCTGGAAGAAAGCTGCCGATTATGACACGGATGATGATGTCTTGACAATGTCACCTACCACAATAGAGCGTTTAGATCGAGGTTCATCGACTGCCGATCCATTTCAGGATAAGCTGAGCCCTCGAGATATAGAGTTGTCAGACGCCATGGCGACTTCTGCAGCAGCGATTTCCGGGTACGACGATAACCTACAGGTATTACGAATTTCCACGATTCTTGGGCTCGAAATGGGAACCTCAGTGATCAGCAACCTCGATGCAATTAAAAAAGAGCCATGGTTCATGAAGGTAAGAGGTTGCCCCACTATGAATCAGATAACTTACGTCTTACAATAACCCTAGAAGGAGTTATGGTCTTCCCAGGAAGTTCGTCTCCAAACATAATATTTGCATGGCAAGTACATACCATGCTGAGTGTACCCTACTGCAGTTGAGATAAGTCGTTCTGACAGACCAGGAAAAATAAAGGACCAGCTATTGTTCATCGCTTTGAGAGTGGGGGAGGGGGGGGCTGGCGCAAGAGTTTTAGGGAATTTTAGGGTTTATTAATGGTACAATGTGGCGATCAGTCGTCGTTAACAGTTTATAACGAGGGACTATTAAAAGGGACTATCAGCTAACTGCCAGCATCAGAATACTACAGAGCCTTATGGAAGGATCTGGAAAATTTTAGTGTAACTCAGCCAAAATCTTACAAACTTGTCCCCAAACATGATTAAAAATAGGTCAAAAGTAACCCGTTATTTAACTATGTGCTATACAAATTAATCGACTGAAAATCTGGCTTTTGGAAGGTGAAGTGTGGTTCTTTTCGATCTCCAAAGGATTTTTTGGGGAAATGATTCAGTGCGATTTAATCAAATTTAAACGTTGGATAAAATGAGCTGATTTGACGGCGCCGTCAGTTATTCGAAAATGTTCACATTCACAAACAAACTCAATTGTTTCGCATTTTACATTAAATCTACAGCTTCTTTAACATAATATCATCTTACCGTCCATATTGCTGTATCACAAAAGGAGATTGCAGTCCTAAAATTGTTGCATTGCTATTAAAAGGGACTGTCAACTAATTGCCGGCATCAGAATATTACAGGGCCTTATGGAAGGATCCGGTAAACTTTAGTGTGACTCAACCAAAATCTTACAAACCCCCCCCACCCACCTTCGTGATTGATGACGACCGATCTTCCCTTAGCAAGATATTTACTCGGAAAGTACATACCATGCCTAACAATATCAGTAAGGGGGCTTCCTGGATTCTGGCACCAATTAACACTTCAAGCTTTCAGGTA